ACCCTTGATGCCGGGATTGTTATGCGAAATGGTTTGCAAAGTCGAGGGAGACTTAAATAACGAGTTCATGGTGTTTTCCGGAGGCAGCTGCGTTTTCGGTTTGAGCAGAGGTCGCCCGGTTAGGCTAGTCCCAGCCAACTTGGTTCTCGGAGGTAAGGTTAAACATCCAGGTGCGATACCTAATTCGGGTCAGGGGGTGGACGAGCTGAGGTTGTTTGTCTCGTGGAGGTCACCCTTCGGAGGGTGCGGGGTGATCCTTGCCGGGGGCAACGGTACAGGCGCTATTTCCACTCGACCGGCCGGAGCGCGCCGGGTCCCGACCGCGGGGTTGGGGCTGGCTGGGGAGGGGAATAAGGGAAAGGGAAATGTGTGTGTACTGAGATGTTTTGTTCGCAGTTACAGGACAAGTAGAACATACCGATGTTTGGCATATTTATTAATTTATTTATTTGATTTTTTCATGTTTTTGGTGGCGGTCCTTTGTTGGATTTCGGCGTTCGGGCTGCGCATTGGTTGTATGTTTGTGTGTGGGGATATGGTACGCGGTGCAGGCTACTCGCGTGATTTCCTGATGTTCAAGTTTAAAAGTTCAATAAATGTCGAACTGTTGTCGGCGTGTGTGCTTGACTGGACGGAGTCTGCAGTCTAAGGCAACAATAAAATGACTTTCAGCATTATACAGTGGAACTGTAGAGGTGTGATTTCAAAGTGGGCGGAGATAAAACCACTGTTGCTGGCAAGACCACATAGTGCCGTATGTCTCCAAGAGACACACTTCCTCCCTACTGACCAATATGATTTCAGAATTCACGGATATTCTCTTTATAACGCTTATTCTGACGCACATATCAGACGAGGCGGAGCATCAATCTACGTCAGCAACGACTTACCTCATTTTCAGGTCACACTAAATACTAATTTTCAGGCGGTGGCATGTTCGGTGACAATGGGGCATTCTCGTATTTGTGTTTGTTCTTTATACTTACCACCAAACGAGAATTTGACGTACCTTGAACTGAACGACTTGGTTACAGAGCTACCGCAGCCGTATATCATAAACACGGACGCCGGTAGTCGGGCATTTCTTATGGGGTGCAGACCGGTGCGATTCTCGTGGAAAGGTGTGGGAAATGATAATACGGCGACATACCTTAAAAGTGATGAACGATGGTTCCCCAACCAGAATGGACGAGTACACAGGATTATGGTCACATATCGACCTGACTGTGACGTCAAGCAGTGTGGGACAATTCATGCATTGGCAAACGGACACTGACTTACACTCCAGTGATCATCTCCCAGTTTATATTACATATGATAGGTATGGAGATATTCCACCACGACGTGACGAATTTACTGGTTGGAATATTAACAAGGCGAACTGGTCTGAACTTACTGACAGATGTTGTTTGCGATTCAATGAAAGGGACGGTATGCAAAACTACCAAAACATTACGAAGGTTTTGCTGGGAGCAGCAAAAGAAAGTATTCCTCGGAAAATCAGAAACACCAAATATAGCTGCCCCTGGTGGACTGACAAGTGCAAGGAGGCAATTCGAGCAAGGAAACGGGCGCTCAATCGATTCCGACGTTCGCACACACATCTGCATTTATTGGCTTATAAGGAGGCGAAGGCGAAAGCCAGAAGGATAATTCGTACGGCAAAGAAAGGTTCGTGGGAAAAACTATTGCATATGTTCAATGTGAATACGCCGATACAACACTTATGGGACATCATTAGGAAATTTACCAGAAAGGAGCGATTTGCGAGACCCTTACCTGTTCTGAAGGTGGCTGGTAACATAATTGACGACCCAACTGAAGTTGGAAATATCTTCGGACGGCTGTTTTCTGACATGTCGTCCTCTCGGAACTACCGAGCCACTTTTAGAGAGCTGGAATGGCAGATGATGGATCAAATGCCGTCATTTATTTCTGACAATGAGGAGGTTTATAACGATGTGTTCACGATGACTGAGCTACAAATGTCTATTGCTAAATGCGGCAATACACCCATTGGACCGGATGAGATACATTACGCGTTTTTTAGACACCTACGTGATGAACAATTGCATTCAATTTTGGAAATGATGAACTGCATATGGTGTGGAGGTGATATCCCTCATGAATGGAGACACTCGATTATTGTCCCTATTTTGAAACCAGGCAAACCTAGGGAAACCCCTGAGTCATATAGACCAATTCAGCTAACTTCATGTTTTAGCAAGATAATGGAACGAATGGTCGCCAGACGGTTATCCTGGTTTCTTGAGCGGAACAATATGTTGTCTAAATATCAGTGTGCATTTAGGAATGGAAGAAGTACCACAGACCATGTAGTCAGGCTGGAGTCCGAGATTAGAAAAGGTTTTTTCTACAACAAATATACCTTGGTTGTTTTTTGGGACCTTAAAAATGCATATAATCTCACGTCTAAAGCTGCTTTGCTCACAAAAATGTTTAATATGGGTTTTAGAGGACGCCTTATGTATTTCATTAGATCGTACCTTGATAACAGAACCTTCCAGGTGCGCAATGGAACATTATCGGATACGTTCGAACAGGAAAACGGCTTAGCCCAAGGAGGAGTTATTTCCCCGATATTGTTTAACATCATGATTGATGACGTGTGTGGAAATGTCCCGAGTGAAGTGCCCCGAGCGCTGTACGCTGACGATTGCTTTCTATGGGTGCAGGGAAGGAGAATTTTTCATCTAGTTAATAAAATGCAGGGGGCGTTGAACCATGTGAGTGCATGGGCTGATCGGTGGGGTTTCCTTTTCTCACCTCACAAATGCAACGCAATTGTATTTCGAAGGCATATGAAGGCAAGAGAGATGACGAACATACCTAACTTACATATATATAACCAACCGTTAACTTACACCGACACCGTCAAGTTTTTGGGAGTGATGTTGGACTCTAGGCTGAACCTAAACACGATGACGCAGTACATTAAAACAAAAGCTGTCAAAAGGATATCAATATTAAAATGGTTGTCTGGAAAAGGCTGTGGCGCAGATCGTTCTACACTATTGAGAATATACAAAGCCATGATGAGGCCGATATTAGAGTACGCATGCCAAGTTTTTGATGGTCCCCGTAACAAGGCAGTGGAAATGATTGATGTTATTCAAAATGAATGCATTAGAATTGCTACTGGAGCCTTTAGAACTTTGCCCATTTTACCACTGATGGTTGAAGCAGACATACTTCCCTTGAGACTGAGGAGATGCGACTTGTCTCTCCGTTATTCCCTGAAGATACTAAGTCGAGAGGATCATCCATGCAGAAAACTTATGGCCAATGAGGCTGCGTTACATGAGGTAGAGACTGGATATATGAAAAGGATTTCTGGTTTCCCGCTATATGAGAGAATACTTGATATGTGCCATGAAACAGGATTCGATTTCCCAGAAGAGGTGACCTTAAAACGCAGCGTCGTTCCGCCATGGAGATTACGTAAATGTACGTTGATAAAGTTGACTAACAGGAGCAAGAGAACGCTAGATGAAGTGCAAATTCAATGTGAGTTTAATGATTTGAGAAGCAGGTATACAGAATACGAGTTCATATTTACCGATGGAGCAAAAAGTGCAGACGGAGTTGGATGTGCTTTTGTCCACGGTGAAAGGCGTCAAAAATTTAAACTTCCTGGACTTTGTTCGATATATATAGCTGAAGGATTCGCAGTATTACAGGCTCTGAATTATACACATACAAATCGCATCCTCAAATGTGTTATATGCACAGACTCCTTGCCCATTATAACAGCCCTGGGAAATCCGACATCTGAAAACCCGATCGTGATCCATTTACTAGAGACGGTCAATCAGCTTATTGAAATGGGCAGCATAATCATTGTCCTCTGGATCCCAAGCCATAGTAATAAACGTGCAAACGAGACAGTGGATGAACAAGCAAAGATGGCTGTAAGATTGAATGACGTGTGTAATTTTCAAATGGGTCCTAAAGATTATTTTCCTTAAGTGCGTCGAAGTATTCGTGAATTATTCAACAAATATTGGACAGATTACAACCCTAGGACTAATTTAAAACGCATCAAAGAAGAGGTAGGAGACTGGGTCTCCTGTAAGCGAGCAGTCCGACGCGAAGAGATAGTGCTGTGCCGGCTGAGACTTGGGCATACTCGTTATACCCACTCATACATGATAGATAGAAACCTCCAACCTGAATGTGAACGATGTCAGTGTCCATTAACAGTGTATCACATTCTTCTTGAATGTCCCGTATATTTTAACGAAAGACGATCATTGGTAACACTATGTCAACGGTCCGGAGCACAATTTCGTGTGAGGTCGCTGGTAGGAAATCAATTCCCGGACATCATTGATGGAGTGATGAAATATTTGCGACACTGCGACCTACTGAAACAATTGTGAAGTGCTGCCTTTGCGTGCGGGACATGTGCAATTTTTGCTTTGCTGTCATTGATTGCTGCCATGTTGTTTATACTATATTGTAATTGTTTGAAATGAGTTGTTTATTCTATGTATAATTTAAGCTTGCGCGCATATCTGTGTACGATGTCTGACTGGATGCTTGAGAAACGTGAGAAGCAAGGAAGTGGTATAGGAATTATGTGTAGCAAATATGTGTATATGTGTGATACGTGGGCGTGTGCGTAAGCAGAGGAGATTCCATGAATGAGGTTTGAACGAGCATGGTGAAGACAGATGAATGTGCGTGCATGCGTTAGAGTACATGGCATGGCAGATATGTGAAATTTCCATCTGGTAAATGCTTTGTTAAACGGCAATGTTGTGACTGCCGACTGACTGATGACTAACATGCAACGTCTATCATGTGGGGAAACTGCGGTTAAAAGAAAATGATAAAAAAGAGCCTGGCAAAAAAACCGGACTTTTTGTTCTCTTGTTTTAGTTCACTAATCAGTTTATGTATCTGAACATTTAACATCGAGTTTTCTAGAAACTAACACCGTTTACTGCACCTCCTTGCTACACCACTGTCCTGCACGAAAATTCCTGACCAGTGCGACACATTCCTTCTATCCTCTGTCGCGCTTAGTTACCACCTGTGCTACCAAACTTGTAAGACAACACTTCAACGATGGACGCCTGAGCCCAGGAGGCTATGCGCCCTAAACCAACAACAACATTCAAATATTTAGCCTGTCTGGGATGGCACGTTAAGATTCCATACCAATTGAGGAGTTGCTTGTGACAGTTAAAGCGACGGTCTTTTTCAACCTCAGGAAAATTTCTGCATATTCCGGGTTAGTATATTTTGCTCCGCATCAACTTGTACGCCGCCAGGGAGTTACCGTGTTAGAGCACAAGCAATCGGTGGCTGCCACTTGCCGGTGTCCTGAATGTTATGTTTTCATGATGTTATAAATGCCTGGGGGGGGGGGGCAACATGGTGACAGCTGTTAAAGGGAGCATCCCACATTTGTATGGTGTTTTGAATTGAAATGAGCTTATTGAAGATCATTTGATGCAGGTCACAGCCTTGCCCTTTGTAAGGCCTAAGGTCGTCTAGTTTCTGAGCTGCACCCCAGCAAAGAGATGCAGATTTTTGTGATGCTAGTTAAGGGTCACCCAGGCATTAATGACCCAACATTTTAGGATGCCCATTTAGGATGGATACCTAATTCCAGTTTACAGCAATTCAAAGTTTACATAGGTAAGTGAAAAAATTGTGGGTGAAATCATTAGTGACATCAACAGGGTATGATGATATTGAAGCAAGCATCAGATATGAAGAAGTAAGCTCACTTAAAGCTATTATTATGCTTCTAATTGGAAAAGACTGCTGTAGCAACCACAATTCCTTTTTCCAACAAATATCCCTCAGCACATTATTGTTTGATTGATTCACAGCATGTTGCACAATATGGATTGGGAGCCTATTGATCACCATTATACCAGAAAATCTTGCTCACAAATGCCAGACATTAGCAACTTAACCAATAGGTCTTTCTGACTTACCTGTATTCTCATATATTTATCTTTTGGAGGCTTGCAAACATTGGTGATGCAAGCAAGTTTGTATAAGACAAGTGGTGAGTGACATCTTTGATAAAATAGGAATTGACTCCAGAAACATTACCATGGTACACAGTTGTGTGCATATAGTTGCATTGACTAATAAATAAAAAAGTTGAAAAATGTAAATAGGCAATATAAATATGTGCACACCTGATTGTAGCTGCTGACTTGTGAGAGCCAAGCATCAGCAAAAACCAAGCTTGTAAAAAGAAAAAGGAGTCTGCACAGCAAAGATACAGCAGGCCTGTAGAGTGGAAGATGTGAAAGTCATGATACATTCCTGAGCACACCTGCTTGGTGCAGCGAGATGACTCCATGAAGTCTCCAGAAGTCTCTGAGTGTCTTTATAATATCACACATTGATTTTTGATGTCATAGCCCGGCAAGAAAGAACAGTGGACCAAAAGGGAGGTAAAGCAAGGGAAGTTAGAACTGAGGGCAAGGGAGGATATAAAGGCATGCTGAAATGCTAAAAAGTTATGCTGAAAAGGCAATGCTAAAAAGGCATGCTAAAAAGGCAATGCATGCCAAAAAGGCATGCTGAAACAAGGAACCATCCCCACCACACCCCCACTAAAATAACCAGTCACATGAGCCCTGGGTCGAGAAATTTTGGATCAGATCTGGTCAGTCACTGTGCATGACAATGCAGATTGAGATGACAGTGACCTGTGATATGTGTAAGCCTCTACATCCACTGCCCCTGAAGTGTTCCTGACTGTGACCTATAGCACTTCAACAAATTAGCATATAGCTAAATAATGTTTCAGCAAATTGGCATTGGTAAAGATACAGTGACACATCAATAAAAAGACCCTGTCAGTAATTGTGCCCAATGGGGAGAATTTGGATGGGCCAACATACTGTTGAAGTCCATGCATGGTTTTTTTTTAACTTTTCTGAGCACCCTTATGATCAGGACCAGTTCATCTTCTGGACAGATCTCACCAGCACGCTAACAGGCGGAAGCCTGTACAAGCTCTTGAAGAGACGTGCACAGAGTCTGTTTTTTAAGGTGATGCACACACCTTGCACTTCCAGCTCTGACTTAAAGAGGACATGTGGGGTCCGATCAATCAGGCACCGTATGTGGAATGCTGCCGAGCGAGAACGGACAAACAGTTGAAGATCCGGATCCGAAAAATCATCCGTGAGCTTAACGTGAGGATGCCGCGCAAGGATGCCGGGGAACGTGGTCGTGTGCGTATACCCAGCAGACGCATTACCGTGTACCCAACAGATGCGTGTACCCGGCAGACGCATTCGTTGTCACAGCTCTGCAACACCGCCTTCGCCGTGCGCTAAGTAAAATGCCGCTCATTTTCGAAAGTCTTGGCTTCTCTGAAAAACAAAAGTAGCCTTCCACGAGTATTTGAACCTTGTCGAAGTCTGTTACTCATCTGTTTAGTTTTGACCTTGCATTGCCCGTATCTTTGTGCTTGTTTATGTCACTATCTGGAAAAAATATTGGGTTATTGTGTCGTTCATTGCTATCAATTACTGAGGCGTCCCATTATTTTTTTTTTATCTCCATGCATCATCTGCCGGAAAGTTCGCCAGTCTGAAGTGAAATTATGAAAAGATGGTGTGCTAGGCCGAAAGCTACCGTGATTTTTTGTGAAAGGTGTTCACAAAAGATGATGGATGTGTTTGTGTAAATTCGCAAATAAGTTGGGGGTTGAGCAGTGAACAATGGCTTAACTGGCATTCATAACACACTAAAACTGGTCTCTCCCCTGATTTGGCCCTCTTGCCCGTCAAAGTTGGCGAAGGCATGAGTCCTCCCCCCCCCCCCCCCCCCCCAATCTATTAGAAAAGTACGCCCGCGCAGACATAGCAGCCGTTTTAAGGCCAGGAAAGCTTCACATTTGTTTAGCTTTGCTCTGTGTGAGTTCGTTCATCGCACGTTGATAGCTTTTGGCTACAACGCACGGAAAAAGTGCCGTGTGGGAGGAGATGGAAGAACGGTCGGATAGTAATAGCTAGGAACGGGTAGATCGTCTTTTTGATGTCGGTGAATATAAAGTTCCGGTGACTTGTCTGCGTCCCAGATACCGTCTACTAATTCGCATCACAGACAAGAGATGACAGCACTACACCGCGCAGCACACAGGAAATGATTGCCGTTGCCGAGCGGACGTACCCGGTCGGTTCAACCCTAAGGGGTGTGCGATGAGCTGGGGTCTGCCTGGATAAGATGAGCCAAAGCTGAGGTGATACACAGAGCATTGTCGGGATCCGCGAAGGCCCCTGGAGTCCCTAGCCCGTTCCCGAGTCAGACTGCTTCAACGTGTTCATTCCACGCAGCGATTTTAGTCTGGGAGCATCGACATGGCGCAACGCGAGCAATGTTATACGCTATTAGCGTGCGGGCCCGTGGCGGAGTGGACTGATGCTCGCGGTGCAAGACATTGGTGCCGGGCACGATCGCCGCGGCGAGGCCGCCACGTAGCCGGGCTGTCGAGAAAGGTCTGCTGGCGACTCTCCAAGCGCGACCAGCAATGCCCATGCGGCCGCGTCGGAGTTTTGGGAGGCTGACCTGTTGGCAGCTGGCCAAAAGCGGGCCCGGCTGACCTGTGCGGACGTGCCGGAGTGCTAGGGTACGGATGTGCCGGGGTACCGGTGTACGGACGTGCCAGAGTGCCGGTGTACGGACGTACTTGAGTTCTGGCGTAGGGGCGTGCTGTAGTGCCGGGGTGCAGGCGTGTCGGATCGCTGCGACATGTACGACTTTTTGTCTATGAAGAAAGTCGTAGGGAAAATTATCCTAAGTGCTGTATTGGTGACATGGCGGCAGGATCATTGAACACGAACAAACTCCGCTTGGCTTGTGCTTTCAAAATAGTACCGTCTATGCAAAACTATTCATGTAACATTTGTTTACTCCGATAGGTATGGAGCAGCACGTTGAACTTAAAGGGAGACCAGGGAGAAGCGAAATCCCGAGGGAGCAGTGGGACAAAATGGTGGGGTTTAGATGGGTAAGATCCCGCTGTGACCTTGTACTTAAATTATGGCCACTGCACTGGCTACGATGTCTAACTTCAGGTCTGCCTCGGTATCTATGAATGGAGAGGTGATAATTTGCTTTCTTGCTTCCTCACGTTTGTGTGGTCCTCGTTTGCCTCATCCGGACCCGCCATTACTCCTTGGCCAGTGCATCCTTGCGCCGCAGGCCTCTGTTCTGAAGTGGTTCAACTGCGTGGCGTCTATAAGCCCAAACGCCTAGTGGGGTGTAGCGGTGGACCATATGTGGCAATATATCACGCCCCAGGACAGTGTTAACGTAGGGAAACGGTCACGGCTCAGGGGCGATGCGTTAGCCCGTGGACGCGGTGGGATGGGACGCGGTGGTGCCGGCGAGTCGCACGCCGATCGTGTTGCGGGTGGGCTCGAAAGGAGTATAAGAGGTGCTGCTGGGGCGCGTAGAGTGGGTCTCCCTGTCGGCGTTGCGTGCGGCAGTTCGCCGTTGTGTGTGAGGTGGTTCAGCCGCGATGTGACCCCGAATACATGGGGTCAAAGTATTTTAACCGTGAGGCCGCCCAGTCATGTGACTAAATAAACTGTGCTTTTTCAGGAGAAGCGAGGATGCGGAAAAGTGACTTTGTATACATAAGTGGCGTACCAAATCTCGTCATAACATACGGGCAATGGATCACGGACTGCACAGCGTCAGAAGTGGTCCTGGTCATTCCGGGTAAGCTGTTGACGCGGAAAGATGTTCTTCCAAGAACAACGCGTCTCTGCAACTAACGCAAATACTCCGCCCCCGCATACGTTGGCTTGGATAGGTGTCGTATTCCAGCTCTTCTGCTTCCTGTTCAGCTGCGCTAAATGCCGCGCTCAGTAGTAGTGCACGAAGGCCATTACGAACGGTCAAAGCCTTGTTAAACCAGCTTCAGTCTGTCCACGGACAGACAGCGTCGGGGAACTGTGGGATACGACCAGTCTCCAGCCGGTTATAGGGATTATGCCTAAGGCCTCGACATGTCGGCTTCGTACTCAATTGTGAGAGTTTCAGAGTACTCAGGTGGTACCCTTCTGATGTAATGTATTTTAACTACCCTGCTCCTGAAAGTAGCTCATCGCTATTTCCACTGCTGAACGCTTAGATAGCAGCTGCTTGTTTGAAGCCTTCCTGTCGCTACCGGCCAGGCGGCGGACTGAGCGTCGTGAAACGATTGCTCCACCAAAAGTGTCGTTTCATCGTACTGTTTTTGCGAGCAGAAACTTATAAAAGCAGCCTTTTAACCCCAAATTGCGGGCATATGTGATCTTTGCTTCTTTCTCTGCGTCTTCATCGCCACGCTGTGGAGAAAAATGATGCCATAACGAAAGCAGTGTGACGCGGGAGTGATTCTTTCAATGAATCTGGTGCTTCCGTAGTGGGTCCTGGGTCGTAGCTGATTTCTGTCGGGGGGGGGGGGGGGGGGAGGGGGGGCAGTCCGTATAACATTAACTAACCGTAAATTGTCTACGTAGTTTTAGCGCCCCGGGCCGGGCCCACGTAGTCCGTCACACTGTCGACGGGCTATAAGTTTACAACGCTACCAGTGACGGTACCGCCATGCGGGAAGTGATACGGATTCAGCAGAAAGTGATATGGATTTTTAAAGCTTGCTGAAGTAGCCGCAAGGCATCTGCACGCGAGTCTTGACCATTTCTGATTTTCTTTCAGCCTTCCCATACTACCCAAATTTAGCATCTTATTTGGCTCAGCCGTGATGTGTAAAATTTGGTCATAACTTTAAAAAAGCACAAAAACAAAAACAAAACCTGTGCCATTTGGCCAGGACAGCGCTTCATTGAACTGAGCTTGCGGTGTCGTGAGCCAACCAAGAAGGCTCAGTATTGATCAAACCATTGCAATGCCTGTCAGCTATCGAGAACCGGAGAATGTCACCGTTTTACCGACGGTGCCGAATACCATTGTCCGCTGTGGCTTAAACGGACTGAAGTTGGGCGATGCGAACTGTACAGACGGAATATCCAAATTGCCAGGCGTTGGGCACATACCATTTTTTGTTCTCGTCGCTTTGGTTATGGCCGCCAAAAGCGCAAATATCCCTGATCGATCCATTGTTTAGACTGAAATGTTCATTCGTTCAGCCAACAATCTTCAAGCATCGTGCGCGCGTATCATTTTGCGAACGCAATATAAAGCAATGGCAATGGCCTCTCATGAAAGACGGCCCAATGCATTGGAAAAACCTGTTTGTTTTTGGGTCCAGGAGCGGCTGGTACCATTTGGTTCAACTTTGGCTTGTTTTACATGCCGATAACACTGCGGCCTGCTGTGAACTTGCTCGTCCTACGCCGTACGGAGTGCCTCGCTGGTTATTCATTCAGTGTTGTTCCTGTTTTCCCCTCACCCCTTGGTTGAAGACGAGCAGTTTTGCAGTAAATCGCCCATTTGAATCGTAGTAGCTTTTTGCTGGACTAAAAGATATTCCTCCAAATGAGGAGGAACGGTCTTCGATTCGCAGGAAATCCTGGGCTTATCGAATACTACGACAAATTCATGGCAACCCTGTATCAAGAGCTGGGCGGAGACATTCCCGTGTGGGGCATTAGTCATGGCGGCCACAGCCTGCCGGACAGTGTGGACACCCTGCCAGACCTGAATGGTAAGTACACAAGCCTCGGGGGGAGACATTCTGACCGCTCAGAGGCTCTCGGCCTCACTGAGAGGAGCACGGTGCCGTGCATGCACTGCGGACGCTGCACAGTGGAGCTAGGCTCCCCGTCACGAGGCGCGCCTGGAGCCTGCTGCGATGATGGCATGACTGATAACAGTAACTACCTTGGCAACCGTGATAGGCAGCGGCCACGTCTCCCAGCATTACTCTCTTAGCTGTGCTGGGCAGTTACTCTGTTGAAAGGACGGTGTTCGAAGAACAGCGTGATGGCGTGATGTTTTATTTTCATCGATCCCCTCCCCCCCGGGCTTGCGCCGGCGCACGGCCGGGCCCCTGGTGCCGAGGACACGGAGGGCCTGACAGAGATCCGGCCGGGTCGGCGTGGAGCGAGGCCACGGCCGGGCCCCTGGTGCCGAGGACACGGAGGGCCTGACAGAGATCCGGCCGGGTCGGCGTGGAGCGAGGCCACGGCCGGGCCCCTGGTGCCGAGGACACGGAGGGCCTGACAGAGATCCGGCCGGGTCGGCGTGGAGCGAGGCCACGGCCGGGCCCCTGGTGCCGAGGACACGGAGGGCCTGACAGAGATCCGGCCGGCTCGGCGTGGAGCGAGGCCACAGCCCGCTCAGATCACCGCCGCAAGTTCGTGATGAACGGCGCGCCCGGTTCACGACCGACTCGGCAGCACCTCACCGGGCGTGGGTGGCCGCTGTTTTGCAGGGAACCCCTCGCTGTACGACCTGGAGGGGCAGACGGAGCAGAAACTGCAGTTCGTCCGGACGCACGTGCCAGCCGGCTCGCGGCTGCACCTGGTGGGCCACTCGATCGGCAGCCAGATCACGCTGGAGGTGCAGCGCCGCCTGCCGGCCGGCCGCATCACGTCCTCCTTCCACCTGTTCGGCACCGTGCAGCGCATGCGGCAGTCACCGGCCGGGCGCCGGCTGTGGCTTCTGTCGCAGTACCTGCGCGGCCTGCTGCTGCTGCTGGCCGCCCTGGTGACGCTGCTGCCCCGCCGCTGGCAGCGCGCGCTGCTGGTGGCTTGGGCTGCCGGCCGACGCGCCGGCCGACGCGCGCGACGTGACGCTGTCGCTGCTGCGGCCGGCCGCGCTGTCGCGCGTCGTCGCCATGGGGCACGACGAGCTGCTGCGGCGTGGACCGCCTGGACGTCGAGCTGGTGCGCGCGGCCGCCGCCACGGCCCGCTTCCTGTTCTCGCCGACGGACCCGTGGGTGCCGCCGGAGAACGTGGCGCGGATGCGCCGCGCCGTGCCCGAGCTGGACGTGGTCACGTGTCCCCACGACTTCCCGCACGCCTTTGTACTGCACTCGACGCCGTCCTCAGCTGCAGCCGGCGTGTTGCCGACTGGGTCCGAATGTTCGCAGTGCACGCGAGATGAATCGGCTAAATTATACGGCCAGTAGGAATATAAGTGCTAAACGGCACAGGCAGGGTTATTACCAGGTGCACCTTGCACTGCAATGCTCGTTATCGAGTTGTGTTTACCAGGTTGTGTTTATCAGGTTGTGTTTAGGATATTGTGCGTGGTTTGTTTCGCTTTAGAGTAATCCATGTGCGTGGTAATCGGAGACTGCTGCGATCCATCACTCAGAAAATGCGAAGCGAGCACGAGATATGATGAAGTAAGATTGCTTGTTAGTATTGGCATGCTTTTAAAGGGAGTGTTCCACATTTGTGTAGGGTTTTGAACTGAAATAGCCATCTTGACATCATCCGGTGTAGTTCACAGCCATGTCCTTCGTGAGATCCAGAGTTCTATAGTTTCTGAGCTACACGCCCGCGAAGATGTCCAGACTTAGTGCAGACCAAG